AGCTTCGCACTTGTGTTCTACTGATATTATGTCTCTTCTTGAAACGCTCTACCCAACTTCTAGAACAAACAAACTCTTTGTTTTTGATTTTACTCCCCATTTCACTAGCCTTTTCTTGCAAAACACTGCCACTTATGGGAACGTTTTCTAGTCATTTTTGAGTAAACCACTTAATAAGTCCCTTCCTCTTCATGTGCAGATAGTTTTAACTTCTTACATCTAACATTTGCTTTGTCATACGCTGATGAAATGTTTTCTCTGTTTTTCCATATTGTTGCAACAGTAAACTTTCCAAGTGGTAATTCCTTACAAATGCCACTCTGCTTTACTCCACTTTTTATTTTGTTAATAATCTCGTACTTTTCATTTAGTGAAAAAGCTTTGCATTTGTGTTTTTCCATTCTAAAACGATTTACGCGGTAAAAAACAAGTCACTGCCTGTTTCTCGCTCTCACTAGTATAAACAACTCCGCACGATTCGTGTTGCTGAGCGTGGAAGTTCGTTATAAGCGGAAAGTGAATATACAACTAACCTAAAAAGTTATCGTTATATCCGGAAGTTTGTTATAAACGGGTTCGTTATAACCAGTAAAAAATGCGTTGGCCTTTATGGACGACGTTTCAATTAAAGGAGAAAAGTTTGTTTTAACCGAAAGTTCACTATAACCGGGTACATTATAAGCGGACTTTATTGTATATCAAAAACGATTAGACTTAGGTATGGGATGTTATACATGAAATATATTTAGAATTTGGAGTATAAGTTAAAGATGTAATAATGTATAGGGGGTTCCATTTAAAATAAGCAAGTTGATACTTACTTCCGGTATAACCGGAAGTGTGGCCATCTTGAAAATATTTTAAATCGCTTGCCCCCAATGATCTGGGCACACTGTTCAATTTTCAATTTTCTCCTAGTTATAGTTTGCCAGATATCGATTCCCGATGGCACACCCTGTATAGTGAGCATATTTACCGCGGTCTCTCCTCAGCCGCTCGTACGCTACTTAGACGAACCGGATTTCCAACATTTGATGCATCACAAATAAAATAAACTACGTACGTGCTAAAAATTCCAAACATATTGGGAAACATCGAAAATAGCCGGTAATGAGATGCTAATCAAGGAGAATGCGGTTTCCATTAAAGGAGCTACGAACATGAAAGCAGAAACCAGGCAAGATTGCCCCAATGGGGCTGCCGGACCACGACAAATCCGACCGCATGACCAAATAATTGAAACTTTTGCCCAAGAACAACAACAATAGCGCCAGCCATTGTGTCTGCACCAGGCGGCCCTGCGCCTACCAATCGACTCATTAAGGTGACAAAGGGGGCCGACCTTCTGGTGGCACCTTAGAGGCGCCGCCGGCCTCCCCACGCGCCCGATCTGGCCCGCGTGACCTGCTGACCCACCCGCGGGATTCCGCTGAATCCTCTTCACTCACTGTCTTTCGGGGGGCAGTTCGCAGCATCTTCTCGTTGAAGACGAACGTTTGTTGTGCTGGCGCTTAGTGCACGTGGACGCGACATGTCTTGGCTGCTTCTTTGGCCGATCGCACTATTCGCGGGACTTTGTGGATCATCCGCTGATGCTGCTCAACAGGTACGTGGGTGGACAGGCGACGATTTTAATCGCTTGCCTTTTAAATGTCAGTGTTTTCATAATCAGTTTGCCAACGACCCTGGTATATGCGTCCTGTGGGACACCGACGCAGTGTTTCCATGGCAGCGGCTAGTTTGGGCATCGGGGCGAAAACAGTCGAACGCGCTCGGCCCCTTGCGCCCGCCCTGCTGGTGCTACGGGGTGCATAGGAAAAATTTCCTGGTGGTAGTTTGGAGAAATTCGTCCAAAGCCCGGATTATTGCACTAATTAGGCATGCAAATTTAACTTTCACGACGCCAAAGCTTTCATCGATGGCCGAAATTTGGAAATACATTTTCGGGAGATTTAGTAGACAAAAGGCCAGGAAACGTGGCCGTTACTTATGTAAACGCGGGAAATGAAAGTAAAAGTGGCTGTTTAAAATGGATTTTTCAAAGGTCAGCGCCACTTTGATCTAGCGCAGTGTAGCGGCTGCTTCTACTCTTCTCCTGCATTCTGGTGTGAGACGTCACTTCCTCTCCAGCCTCGTGCGATGTTGATTAATCAAACATGCAATCAAGCAACCGCATAATTGGCGTGTAAATGACACCATGAGATCCCCACGGTCACTTTACGGCTCACGCATCTGTTGATGATGATGACGGCTCATTAACATATATCCTCAAGATTGTTTTTTCCCACTGATTTAATCATCAGCCGCTTGCCCAATTCGGTGAGGGCGCACTCCGTTCTCGAATCAGAACCAGTTCAGATGATTAGTTCGTTTCCGGTTGCGTCGATTCAATTGTAAACCGCAAAAGCACCATTTACAGCAATCTTCCGGGCATGAAATGTTTGTTCGAATTACATAAATCGATGGATGGATTCCTTTCACTGATCAGACGATCGTCTGTTCCTGGGACGGCACCCATTATGGGCATTTGCTCTTTCAACCTTTGGCCGCAACACAATATGGAGTGGACCATCTAAGGTGCAGATCATTGTGCGATTATTGCGCCAACAACTGGACCATGTAAGAGCGCTAGTTACTGGCACCACCATAAACTGATGGTAATATTTGCGTTAAACTTGCCTCGTCGACATGGGGGCCAAATATAGGGTGTCTCTTAAGTGCGCGGCATTCCCTCGAGAAAAGAAAATAGATTTGAAAAGGTAGAACAAATCAAGCAAACTTTAGATCCAAGGATTTGAGACCCCTTTGACAGACTTTTTTCGGGGAACCGGGTTAACGCGCACAATTAACGCCAAGAACTGTACAGGGTGTTTCCTAAATAATAATCAAGTATGGCTGCCATTTAAAAAAAAACTCAAATTTGTGTCATATGTCAAAAATTACAGTTATTATAGAGAAATGTCTTAAGTATGCCATTTTGTTTGGAATTCAATTTCTTATAAGATTTCTATTTAATATTTTCCTGTCAGATTAATATTGACTTAACTAGGAGTCATTTAAAAATTTATCATAAATAAGTTTTCCAACAAATATCTCTTGACAGCTGTCAAATTTTAGAAAAATAAAATTGGTTTCGAGCAGAACATTCAAAACTACGATTCTTTGTCCATTTGACCTTCTTCGTAACTGCTCTAGTTCCGAAGAT